ATCTCTTGATCACTTTCTTATCATCACGTGATCTGTCCATAGTTCTTCCGTTCCGACCCTTGCCCGTAAGCGCCGTGATCATGCATACATGAGCCCGAATGTCCCCTGGTCCCTCGTGGGTTCGTTCCAGGTGGTTACGTTAACCAACGCTTTCCTGGGTCGTAACATTATATAACATATATAACTTAAAGATATATATTATAGTAGAGGGTATAGACTAAATATTTAGCTCTTAGTTATCTATTAAGGGAATCAAAAGTATATTTATACTGAACTAACTTAAGGATATATAAGATTATATATTTTATATATAAAAGCTAAGTCTTATAGTTAAGAAGATAATTATAGAAAATACATCTTTAGTTCACCTTAACTTTAACCTAAGTATAATCATACAAATAGGTTCTCTTAGAAAGAGAGAATTTATTTAATAAATATTAATATTTTAAAAAAGGTCTAGAAGTTTTATTATTATTATTAATTATATAACTTAATACTAAAGAAGTTTAAGTTTATACTTAAAGATAAAAACTACTTTAACTATAAGATAGTTATAGATATTATATAACTAAGAGACAAGAACGCCTTATATGTTATTAATATAAAGACAAGCTTCTAAAAAGCTACCTTTTTAAAGTCCTTATTTATATAAGATATATAGAATATACTTTATAAGTGTTAGATCAGTATATATATTAGTTTACTAAACTATATTATATATAACCTAGGTATAAACTTTATATTATTAGAATTTAAGAACTATATTAATATTATAAGCATATTATATAAAGAAATGCTAATAGAAGCCTACTAAGTAATAAGTAAAATAAAAAGAGCTTATATTCCTTTAAGGTATATATATAATATCTTATATACTAAGCTTAGGTATAATATAAACAAAGAAACTATTTTTTAGATAGCTATGAAGGCATTAAATAACATAGCTGGTCTATATAGCATTATATTTATACTACTTATCTTTAGTATATATCTAAGGATTAATAAGGACTTACCTCTATTACCTAAAATTACTTAAAGGGTAGAAGTAATCTAAAAGGTAATAAAAATACTTTAAAGTATTTATATAAAAGTAGAAATTAATTATATAATTAATACTAGAAATAGCCTTAACCTCTAAAGTATATTATTACTACTAATTTAAAGTAAGGTTTTAGTATAGAGAGAAAATAAAGGATAAACTAGACTATATAAAGTCTAGGCTATAAAAGGCTATATAGTAATAGTTAAGATAGTTAATAGTCTTATACAGTTTTATGTAATATATATTAAACTATACTATTAAGATATAATATAGTTAAATTTAGATATTATATAACTTATTTTTTAAAAATAGCTAAACAAAAAAAGAAGACTAAAGAAAGGCTAAAAAAAAGCTATATAATAATTACTATGTACTAATTAAGTATTTTTATCTTAGAAAAAAAAAGACTATAAGGAGTTAATAGAAAAGTTATAGCTTAATAATATAATTATAACACTAGGTACTTTATATAAAGAGTTAAACTAAATAAAGATAAATAACCTTATTAACTAAGAAATCTTTACCTTTATACTATATAATCTAAAAGAGTATAACTACTTTTATATCTATAAAACATAAATAGTATAAAAGATTAAGAACTTATTATTTAAGCTGTATAAGAAGTTAAGACTTATTATATAAAAGTATAAAGACTAAGAAAAAGAAGAACTCTTAACCTAGGTACCTACTATTTAATAAATAAGCTAAAGGCTTATACTTATAATTAGACTTACTCTTATACAAGACTATAAATATAAAAAGGAACTTAGAGATATAACCTAAGTATATACATAATTAAATAATCATTTAACTAGGACAATTATTATATAATTACCTAAGGAGTTAGAAGATAAATACTCTAAGAATACACTTCTCTATATCTTGAAACCACTATATAGCCTAGTAAAATTAAGCCTATATTAGTATAAAACCTATTCTAAGTATTATAAGAAAGATCTAAAGATAACAGAGTTAATATATAATCTATACTTACTATATATAATAAAAGGACTAGATACCTTTAGGATTATAGCTATATAAATAAATAATATACTTAGCTTTATTATACTTGTTTTTTTTTAAAGAAAAAAAGAAAAGCTAAAAAGAAAAAGACTTTATATAAAACTAAAAACTACCTTATTATCTAATAGTGAAACAACTTTAATAGGGAAAGAATTTAATTATATAATAACTATATTGCCTTTACTTAAAAAGGCTAGGTAAAATACCTAAAACTTGTTAATCTTAATATATATAATATATATTAGTAGTATATTTTCTAAAAAGCAAAAAGAGTATATCTTATATTTATTTATTAACTAGAGGCATTATATAACCTATTAACTATAGCTTAAACTAAAGAACCTAATAAAAAGAATATTAAAGCTTTAAATATATAACTTTAGTAGTAAATTAATAACTTTATATAAGGTCTTATATATATCCCTTTTGATTTCTATTATATAAAGATGTATATCTTTATAGATAGATTATTTATAAATAACTTAGATCTATTATTATAACTTAGATTTATTATTATACTAGCTAAGAAAATAGCTTATATAATAATAGACTTCTAGATTAAAAGAAATATTATATACTAGAGTTTAATAAAGTATAAGAGAGTTACATAAAGTGTATTTGTAAATAAGTTATATAAAATAACTATAGGATTTAATAGTAAAATATCCCTTAGTATAATACTTACTAAGATTTTTTATATATTATAACTCTTAAGGATTTTAGTTATTATTTATTTAAACTTATAATTTCTATATAAGTACCTTATATAACTAAGTATAATAGATAAAAAGAGGCTTATAATTAATATTATAAGTCTATATAAGTTATATAAAAAGAAAAAGATTTTAGAAGTAAGATAAATTAATAAGAAAAATAACTTTATTAACGCTTTTACTAAGAAATTACTAAACTTAGTACTTAGATAATTAATTATAATAAATATATTAAGGATTTAAATTAAGGTGTATATTAAAAGATTAGGAGAAAACACTTAATAATTAATTTATATAATTTTATTATTATATGTTATTAATTATTTGAAAATAAAATATAACTTTAAAAAGGTATTTAATATATTTAACTACTACTAATACTAATCTTAATATTAAATTATACCTTTACTATATCTATAACCTTTTTAAATTACTATATTATATAATTTATTTAATTATTATATAAGATTTTAAGAAAAAGAAGTTATATAATTACTCTTTGTTAATAACTATAAGGCTAACAGAAGTACTAAGGAAGTAACTACTTTTGTTAACGTTCTTGCTAAGCTTACTGCTAAGCGTATAAGGCTTATAAGTATTAGTAATATTAAGAGCTTTATAGTTGCTAAGGCTACTATTATCATTATTATTATTATTATTTAGGTTATTAGACAAATTAATATCTTAATTATAGTAGGTATAGTAAACGCTATATAACTACTAGATATATTTAGTATAAGTATTACCTTGAAAGATAAGAATATAGGTATATTAGTAGAAGCGTAGAGAGTTAGTAGTTATGTATTTATTGCTATAAGTAATAGCTATATAACTATAAGACTAAACTAAGACTATAAAGAAGTAGCCTTAGTAATAGATAATACTAGTAATAAACTACTGGATAAAAGTATTACTAGTAATATAGATCTTGATATTATGTAATAGTATATTAATAATAAGATACTTCTTATTTTATAGTTAAGGTTAATATATAAAAATAAAATAAAAATAAAAGTAATATATATTAATAGCTAAAGTTAATAAAAGAATATAATTATTAGTATTACTAGTTAAAAGATAAAGCTAATAACTACTAGATATATTAGTATATATATTAATATTACTAAAAATTAAACTACTAGTAGTAATAAGAGATATAATAGATTGATTATATAAGGTATTATTAATGAATTAGTAAAAAGAAATATATAAAAGGAAATCTTATATATAAGTAGTTATTATTAAAGTTAATTAAAAAAAAAGAAAAAGATTATTATTAATTAATTATATAAAAAAATAATATATATAAAAAATAAAAAATAAAAAAAAAAATAAAAAAAAAATAAGTAAAAAAGGTTTTAAATACTTAAAGTTATTATATAAAAAAAAGAAAGTATATTAATAATAAGAATAGAAGTAAAGTTAATAAGGAAAAAAAGAACTTTATTAATATATAGCTTATTTATTTAACTAGGTAAAAAGAGAATAGATAATTACTTAGAGTTTTAATATTAGTAATTTATTATATAATATAAGTAGCTTAACCTATAAGGTTATATAATAAGGTTATTAATGTTATAATTAGTATAACCTAATTAGACACTATAAGGAGTTATATAGTCATAAAAGAAAAAGTTATAAGTATTAGAATAATAGTACTAGCTGGTTATATGACATGTATAACTCAAGGACACACATCATGGTAGAGGGTATAGACTAGATATTTAGCTCTTGGTTATCTATTAAGGGGATCAAAAGTATATTTATACTAAATTGACTTAAGGACATATGAGATCATATATCTTGTATATAAAAGCTAAGTCTTATAGTTAGGAAGATAATTATAGAAAAATACATCTTTGGTTCACCTTAACTTTAACCCGAGTACAATCATACAAACGGGTTCTCTCAGGAAGAGAGAATCCATTCAACAATGAGGTCATTAAACACATGGCTAGCTAGTTCGTTGGTATTGACAGAGTTGTGAATTGGGAGGAATGAAACATGGCAAGCCGTGTTTGGAGCCGAACAGATTGAACTCATTAAGGCATCTTACAAGACTTCGTATAATGTACATGAATATGCCCGTATGACGCTGAAAATGTCCTCTGTTATACATGAGTTTTGCGCATCATTATTCAAGTACCATCGAAACAAACGAACATTCCTCGAGCGTACAGCGCGGGGGAAAAAAAGATTAAAAAAAGAGCTAAGCTCGTTCTCTATGACGGCCGATGCAAATAACGCAAGATCTCCGGGTCCTGGCTCGGCGGGCACTTCTTCCCATCGACACCGATCGAAGTAAGCAAAATCGGATCCTCCTTCGAGGTCTCAGGATGAACCTCGATTCCGTATGACAACTCCACCTTGGCATACCGCGCAACCTCGATCATCGCAGGCACGTCAATCTCGTTGTCTCCAGTGCCAGTCTTTGCAGCGCGGATCAACGCCTCTCTCTGCGCTGCCGGGATACTTGAAACCCGACCAGCGAGTTTTGAGCCAGGCGGCGGCGTTGAGGTGCCCCATTCATAGTTCATTGGCCTCAAAAGCGCTGCGCCCGTTTGTAGGACCCAGCTCTCGGCAGCACCCATGTCATCAACTTCCTCCTCGGCTTTCTTCCGCCATTTTGACGGGAAGGGCTTAGAAATTCCACGCAGGGAAGTAAAAAAAGCTTTCTTAACAGCTTGAAAGAAGGCGTAAACATAAGCGTCTGGGACTTGTCGTATTACAGCGCCAAGGGGTATCACCAATACGCCGAAGAGCATCGACCATCCCCATTGCTGCCCACTGAGAGGCCGGGTATCAAACGCTTGGCCACCTTTCCAGATGATAACCATCTGCCCGGCAACAGTCATGCATTGCACGCCGAGGAACCATGGGTTGCGCAGAACGCCCTGGTACCAGATATTGAGTCTGTTGTCTACACGACGGCAATTGTGCTGATTGAAGAATTGCATCCAGACGTATATATTGAAGACCATTGTCTGTAGTGCCTCGCGATCTGCTTTTGTAACGGGTTTGAACAAGCCATCCCCCGCATAATGCAGGGTGAACATCACCGCTAGTTGGTAGATTGCTTGCCCAAGGATCATCTTCCACATCGTGATGTTGACGATAGGGGCGCTTCGTGGTTCGGGTCTTCTTTTCAGGAAGTCTGGCGACGGGTAATCTGTTGCCAGCCCAAGCGAGGCGAAAATGTCCATAATGAGGTTGATCCAGAGAAGCTGTACGACGGTGAAGATTGAATCGCCCGCCAATTCCGATACGACTGTCAAAGTACCAGCCGTGATGTTGATGGTGAATTGAAACTAGGATTATGTTAGCGCAAGTCAAAACATGGATTATAGTAAGACTAACCTGAAGAAACTTCTTCACGGCGGTATTGACCGTTCGACCCCATACGAGAGCTTTTACGATCGAAGCGAAGTTGTCGTCAAGCAAGATGATAGAGGCAGCCTCTTTAGCAACTTCTGTGCCCTGAATGCCCATAGCGAAACCGACGTCTGCAGCTTTGAGGGCCAAAGCGTCGTTGGTGCCATCCCCAGTGACGGCAACAGTCTCTCCCATTCCCTTAAGATGAGAGACAAGCAGCAGCTTATCTTCCGGACTAGATCTCGCCAACAACTGAAGCCGAGGGATAACTAAATCCAGCTGCGCAGGTGTAAGTTTCCGGAAAGTAGGCCCATCCATTGCCAGTCCTCCAGGGCTGTAGATGCCGCACTCGGACGCGATGGCCTTCGCAGTAAGGAAGTTGTCGCCGGTGACCATCCGCACGAAGACGCCAGCCTCTTGACATTGGCGCACGGAATCGAGGACTTCGGGTCTAAGAGGGTCGCGAATACCAAAGACGCCGATGAATGTCATGTCGCTGAAGTGTTTCTCGAACTTGATTGAGTCCGGGTCATCCAGACTCTCGAAAGCCTGGGTGGAACTGACATCCTTATAAGCTATGGCAATGGGTCGAAGCATCTGCTTGGCATATTCTCGAATTGTCGATCGCAGGTCGTCTTGCATTGTGTCTGTCGCAACTTGGACCGAAAGTCCTCTTTTTGGTTCGTCGAGGATGTTGGTACATTGTTCAAAGACAACCTCGGCGGCGCCCTTGACCAAGAGCCGAAAGTTGCCATTGGGCAGCTTGGACATCACGGCCATCCATTTGCGAGATGCATCGAAAGGGAACATATCGGCGATTTCGTTATTTGCTCTCTCTTCGCTCAGTGGGCCCATGGAGAGAAACTCGCGCCCAAACCTGAGCAATGCCGTCTCGGTGCTAGTTCCCACGAAGCCAGGCTCTTTTGGGTTGTCGCTTTCGAAAGAGGTTGAGTTCAGTGCGATACTGTTCTTCATCAACTCCCTCAAATCGCTACTCAATGAGTCCAAGAGCACTCTCGTGGTATCCTGGCTTGCAATATCGTCAATGTGCGGCTCTTTCTTAATGTCATCAGTTACCGCTGTATTCTTTGGTGCGTCGCCAAATCTCTCAGACAGACCGATTCTTCCGTTGACGACCGTCATGTTATTCTGTGTCAGAGTTCCCGTCTTGTCAGAACAAATACACGTGGCATTGCCCATAATTTCACAGGAACGAATCAACCGGACAAGGTTTTTGTCCTTCAACATCCTAGTCGTAGCAAAGGCGAGCGCAAGCGTAACAGCGAGAGCTAGACCTTCCGGCACTGTGATTACGACGACAGTAACAGCGAGAATGAGGAGCTTGAAGAAGGTCTCGGCTTTCTCAGACGGTGTCCCTTGCATAGTTCGTAACCCCGCCAGGAAACGGATGAAAAGGATGAGGAAGAATATAACACCGGCAATGGCACCGAAAGTGATGAGCTGCTTCGCAAGCTTCCCCAGCTTCTGCTGGAGCGGCGTTTCCTCAACGTCCTCTCTCAACGACATCAAAGTCCTGCCATAGGTCGAGTTGCTCCCCACGGAAGTCACCAGGTAAGCGCCGACGCCACCGGAAACCGTGGTACCGCTGAGGATGAAAGGATCAGTCGCCGAAGACCTATGAACCTTCTGGTTGTTCATATCACTGTTGCTAGGTACACTCTTGTGCACAAGTTCAGACTCGCCAGAGAGGGAAGACTCGTCCACTTGGATACCCGACCCCTGTACCAGGACTCCATCTACGGCGACAACATCACCAGTCTCGATATGCATGATGTCCCCCACCTGTACGTCGTATACTGAGATATTCTGCGTCTTTCCCGAACGAATCACCTTGACGTCGCGTTGTTCCTTTCTTTCGATGAGCTTTGCGAACCTGGCGTTCTTTTGCCAATCCGTGGCAGCACTTGCGAAGACGATGACCAAGATGGCGACAACCACGGTCACACCATCAACCCATTGGATATTCGGTTCATCGTCCGATGCGTCTATCGTTTCGTAAATTCCGAGCGCTAACGAAATCGTAGCAGAGATAGTAAGGAGGAACATGAGCTTATCGTTAAAGGCGATCCATGCCAGCCTCATGAACGACTTTTGTTTCCGCTTTGGTAGTCTGTTTTCGCCATATATGCGCCTTCTGTCGGCGAAATCCTCTTTTTCGTGTTGTCCGAGGTCCAAGTCAAGCTTGAAGCCATGTTCGTGTGGTAAGGAGGGGGGAAGAGGCGTGATCTCGGCAGAACGGTGGGCCTTTCCGGCAGTCACTGCCTCTTCGAAAGAGATCGTCCCATCGAGGCTTCGTTCGTCGACACTCAGACCAGCGGTTAGATCTGTTCGCAGTCCCGCTGCAAGACCAGGAAGACCGCCAAACCGACGAAGCGCTGACAGGTTCCTCGCGGTGATGAGTTGGTGGAGCTGTGTCGGCGTAAAGGCGAATTTGTTGTTCTCGATAACGATATCATCGCGGAGGTCGAGTTCATTGTCTTTGTTTTCCAGTTTCTGGGCAAACTGTTTGCTGAACGGGTCGTTGGGCCTAGCCTGACCGGTGTCTGGCTGGCGCGGCACAATATTGATCTCGTTGGCCATTGCCTCGTGCGCTGCAACCTAGAAGTTCGAAAGTGCAGTGGAGTGTGACGGCAGAGAGCCAGGTTGTAATTGGCAAGATTTGACGAAGAGGAAGAAACAGAGACACACAGCACAGTATACTCATCATCAGCAAAGTTACACTGGTTGGTAATATTGCATAGTCATTTCAAACCCCCAACAACCCGTTGCCAACCCTTGGAAACGGATCTGAGGGCCGCGTCATTGTATCTTGGCGAATCTCACCACGGTGCCGAGAGCACTCCAAGGCATCTCGGCACGCCATGAGGCTGTGACTGGCCCGATGGTGCACAATTTTGGAACTAGACTCACTGCACAAGCCTTACGATCTGGGGACAAGTGGAGATGGACGATCCTAGACCCGCTAGGGTTCAAGGTGTCTCTGCGAGATCTCAACATTCCATGTTGAGATGGCACGTGGCCTTCGGTCAGTCCGTGTTTTTTCGCCTTTGAGAAAAGACTCGGGCGAAATAGGTGACGAAAATTCACATGAGGGCAATTTGCCGGCAGTTCGCCGCAGTCACCCGGCGCTTCGACGCCGTATTTTCGGTGTCGGTGTGGCTGTGTATTCTCGGAGGATGCGAAGGAGATGTGGATATGCTCGCTTGCAGAGAACTTCTGCCAAGTCAATATCCATGTCGGAAGCCTCAAAATCGAACCTCAAGACTAATTTGGCTCAGTTATTCCATCGGTTGTTCGGCTCTTTGGCGGCTTGGCATGCCCAGAAAGAAGGTTTAGCGACAGACTTGGCTTTGCCGCCCATGACATCATACAGGGTCTCATCTTCAACTGCCATCGTTGTGACAGTAGTGAGTACGTGCGCGGAGATTTTGTCTACCAGCAGATAGCCTGTGGATGGAAAGGTTGGTCTAGCCAACAGAAGCATATGTGTAGTGGAGCTTCGCAGAAACCTAGCGCCAGAAGACGATTTCAATACGGCGGGTCGAGGCTGGTTCATTCGGCATGTGCTTTCAAATCCTTTACACCCTAACCAGAGTAGGTATTCACGTAA